GTGGTAACAGTTAACAATACTGTATTATATACTTGAAAGTTGAAAGAGGATACCTCTTAAATCTTCTCAGCATGTACGTACACATACAGTAACTATGTAGGTGTGATGGATAAAGTATTTAGCTTCGTTGTAGTGATCTTTTCACAATGTATAAATATACTGAAACATTAAGTTGTACACCTTAAATATATGTTCTCTTTACATGTCAAAGATATCTCAATAAAGTAGTTAAAAAAAAAAGAAAATTGAGGAGAAATAAAAACTTCACATTGGCTACTGAACTAACCAAATAAAGAATTTTTAAATAAACAGAAAAAGACAGCCAAGAGTTACAAATTCCCAACATGGCTAGTAGGGGTTATGGACACCAAACACATTTCCAACCATTTTTTATTCCAACGAACAGGTTTATGGATTAAAATAGGCCATAAATTGGTTCCAAACATTCAGTATTCTCCTCCTGAAAGGAGATCAGATCTTAGAGGGGGGAAAAAAACATCCCTCTAAGATATATGATCTGGACTGTTAGAGGACTATTAGAAGTCCTGGTAACACATTTAGATTAGGCTTTAACCAGAAAGTAAAAGGAAGGCAACCACAAACTCTTAAACATCCTAAAATGTGAAATCTTCCCTAACACAATGAAAAGACCATCTCATATAAATGACAGAATAGTCAGACCCATTCTGAACTTGTATATCTTTCTTTTAAACAAAAACTCAAGCATTTCCAATGAAAACAAGGCTGATAACATACAACACTAGATGAAGAATAACAGATAAATCTTGCTTTGGGGCTCATTTTAGCTGAAAGTTCTAAAACCTCTTAAAACAAGTCCTGTGACCCTTAATTGGATGTTATGATAGAGATGAGATGACTTTAAAAGAAAAAAATATTTGTTTAAGAACCCAAATCTTAATGTTAAAATTTTGCTTTTGGTATTTATTATTATAAGGTGTAGAAATTACTTGCTAACTAAAGCTTATATTACTGTAAGTATCAATATTTTTATGGGAGAAAAATCATGTTTGCAATTAAAAAATCAGAGGAGTTAGCTTACTCTCCCTTAGCACAATTATTATGAAATGACAAGTTTGAATGATCTTCCCCATTACTGTGAGATAAGACTCCTTGAGGATGTTTATTTTAATTTTTCTGTATTTATATTGACAACATTCTGGCAGCCACATCCCTTTGGAATAATATCATAATCTTCTTTTTTTAGGCACCTCCACATTGTGATGATTTTATTTCTTGTTCATCTAATAATTTTATTCAGCTCCAAAAAATTCTATTCAACTCAAAAATTCAATACAAAATTTATTAACTTTAAAAAATGCTTTCATCCTTTATAAGCAAGCCATTTTTTGCTATTTGGGTATATATAAATTTGACAAGCCCTTCATTTAATTAGTTGGAATTTAACAAAATATTCTTACTCTTAATGTATTAATCTATTATTCTATACTATTTATTAGTCTGGAGATTAATTTGGCATGTCAGAAAGTAAAAAATGTCATAAAAGACTTTTAAGTCTTCTTCAGGCACCAATATAAAGGTTGACACCACACTTAAAAGCATCCAGCTATCTGACTCATTGCCATTTCAGATGAACTGCCGTTTACCCCTTTGACCTTGGTTTTGGCAGAGACCTAATACAGTGGTACATATGACATTACGCACAGTATTCTTAAGAGCCTTATGCATCTGGAACTCCTTATGGGAAAACTTAAATTAACTGGCTGAAGACAAAGCTAGAGCTCTCAGAGACAGATCCTTAGTATCAAATTTAAAACTATATGCTTAAGTAATTTAGGTTGAAGAAAGATAGTTTCCACTAAACAAGACACACTACTAGATCAGTCAGAAAAATGCATTTGTTAAAAATATTATTTCGGAGTATTTGGTGGGGGAAAGTGAAGAATCTGAGAGAAGCAGCAGCTTCTCAAGGTAGTTGGCACACTGTTTAATTCACTTAAAATAAAGAATCATCATAAAGTACAAGTAGGTATAGCTTGTTTTCTAATTAGAAAAAAAAACAAAAACAAAAGCAGATATCATGATGCAAAAATGAAAGCTGCCTTAGTGAGGCAAAATTAGCAACAGTCGTGTTATCAGCTGGGTGTTGTATGTGAGTGATGAATCACAAAATTCTACTCCCCGAAACCAATATTATACTACATGTTAACTCACTAGAATTTAAATAAAAATTTGGAGAGAAAAAAGTAGCTGCATTATCAGAGTTACTCAATGAAATATAACATAATCATATAGAAATTAGTAAAGGTTGTAGAAAAAAGTTTATATGGTACCTTCCCTTATTGCTCAAACCAGGGTTGCAAGTAAAGGCAATTATCAATACTCCAATATCAGAAATTGGGAAAATTAAGCACTGCTTACTTTCTGTGAGCCTAGAAAAAAAAAAGGATGGGGGAGAAACCAAAGCTAAGATTCTGCTCAGTATCTCCCTGGGTCTGGGCTTTTTCTCCAGGGTCAAGCACTGGTGGTGAGAATGAAGGATTTTATATTTAATACTTGTCCATATTGTCCCTCTGCTTTCCCTTCACTGATTTTTATTTTCCTGGACTCTTCAAAAGATCACTCAGAGAAAGATGTTCTCAAACTCAGAAAGTTAACCAAGCCTCTTCACAAGCTCCCCATCCATCACAGAACATAATTAACTCCAGAAGTTGAGTAGTTGTCCTTTATTCCATAAAAGCTGAGTATTTTAACTGCTTTTACAGTTCTCTCGTATTTGGAATAGAATAATTATTAGCTGATAGACTTAAAAATATCAGAGCTAAAAGTGATCTGTGAGAACATATCACCAGGCCTGGAAAATCGGTCAGGCAAATTAATTCAACAGGTGGATAGGATTTATTTGGGCTGAATTTGTATGCTTACCAGTGGACTACAATACATATTCTACTGAGCCTCTAAGGACATATACATTCATGACCTCTGATCTTTCTCAAGAGTATAAGGTGATCAAATTAAATTCGGATGTCTAAATGTGGAGTGGAGATGAGAGAAAATCCATTAAGTTGATTAAGTATTCAAAATGAATAAAAAGACCACAGATGACCATCCATGGTAGGTTCGTGGTCTGCCCTTTCCCCCACTGTTTTAGCTTCCTATCCAGACCAGTATGAGTTTACTTAATGTATTTTTTTTTCAATATTTGAAAGCCAAATAGGGACATACAGCCTATGTGTTTATATTTTTAGAATTTACATTTTACTTTTCCAATTCATTGTGAGTAGATGACAACTGATATCCTCTTTAGTATCTTAATGAAATGCTAACAATTGGAGGCTTAATTTACTAGGTGACAAAAGTGGTAATTGTGAATCTCACATAATATCAATAATTGATGCTTTGCCAAATGATAAAGTTCTACCTGTGATTGTAAATTATCCCTTAAGTTGCTCATCAGTCTCTTACTCAAGACAAGTACAAGATTCTCACACTGTAGCATTCACGTCAGTGAGTCAGTATGAAAGTTCCCATACACTCCTTACCAGCCTTGTGAGACACATGTTTTGGCTCACCCCCTATAGAATATTCAGGCACAGTAATCTGAGAAAACTGCATAATAGGAACATTTAAAATTTGCACATTTTGGCCTTACTCATGTATGTTTGTTATCAGTTATATCTCATGGTGCTATCACCATGTAGCATCATGCAGTGCAGATGTAGGAAGTTTTTGATATTTAAGACTAAGAAAAGAGGTGAATCATAAAAACGAAAGGTCTGTTTTTCCTAATCTGTTCAGGGATCTGTTTTGATATGAAGCTGGCCTCCAAAGACGACAAACAAACATGCTAGTGGATGCAATCCAATAGCTCCATCTTCAGAGTAGACCCAAACACCAGTGTGGCTAAATACCAGAACTGATCTAGTTTCTTGCAGGATATGCCCTTTGGCCAGGTTCCCCAGGGTACATCATTTTTATTGGGATCTGCCTAGAACCAAAATGGCCTCCAGTTATTAGTGGATTCAGTGAGGAACACCTATCTATCAGACCATGTGCACGCCTGGGGGACACAGAAAGGCGTAAGACTTGGATTTTGATTTCAAGAAAGTCTTACTCATTAGAGTAAGTTGAAATTTTTCTGAACCTACATCTTACTACTTTCTGCTGTTTATGAAAAGTCTACAAGAATCAGGAGATATATATATTTTTCATTCTTCTGCTTCATGTTTTATAATATATAGTAATTTCAATCAAACCTCTTACTTGTCACATGTAACACTTCTCACTGTCAAATAAAAATCTCTCATTAAAATATGTTACTATTGTACTTTGGATTTTATAGTTTGGAGAAAAATCTAATCATAGACCACACAGCTCAAGATACAGTTCAGAATTATTATTATTCCAAGTAGACTTTCATTGTAATGCCTCAGGCCTTACTTTCAGCTTAGAACCCATTAGCCACTCTCCACCTTCCCCACTGCTCTCACTCCCATGCCCAATTCCCACAGCAATTTCTGTTCTCCCAAATCTCCTTATATGCAAACTTCATCATTCATTGAACTGAATAACCTTAGGGAACTTCCAGCCATTATGACATCTAAAACACCAAACCAACACATCATTCATTTGCAAAGTGCTTGATGGCACTGGAATCTAACATAAACTAAATATGCTGTTAATGTTACTATTGTTGCTAGTCTTGCCACTATAATTAAGCTGATTCAAAAAGGAAATTATGGAGCTTAATATACTAGACCCATTTCTACTCATAAATTCTTCTTCCAGTTCTAACAGAGGAACAGACAAAATTTGCTTGGTAAATGAGATAATACTGCTTATCATATAAAAGTATATAAATAACCTAGCTGTAGATGCACAGATTTAATTCTTGGTACCTTCCTTCCATCTGGATTTGTGTGCAACCAAATGCTCTGCATACCCCCAACCCCAAAAGTATGCTTTGAACCCGCTACCGCTGGGCCTTACAAACTCCCACCCCTCTGGGGTGTAGGACTTACTTGCTGCTGAGGCAGCGTCTCAGAGAGTAGGAGGCCCCTCCACCACAGGTGCGTGAGCACTCGCTCCATGGGCCCCAAGCATCCCACAGGCCATCCCGGTCCTCCTCAGACCGTGCTGTTCTGGAGCTCTGTGAGAAAAAAAAGGATGGTCAGTATCATGTCCCCACTGAACCCTAAAACATATGTCCTGAACTGTGGGTGTTCTGTACGTCTGTCTATGGTAGTCTTGCTGAAAATGAAAACATGAATCAGATTCTTTCCAATTTAAAAATGTGTATATGTCTGGGGAGAGGGGTATTTGAGTTTAGGGATCTGGGCCATGACAGAAAGGGACAAGAGACTGTGCAATGGAGCAACTAGAAAAGGGGGCAAGAAATAGGAATCTGGAGGATGGGAAGATGAATTGAAGTTACATTTTGCACTGAAGTCACGATTTTGCCCTGGGCTCATAAGTCTTCTCGTCTACTACCTCTCTGTGAAAACAGAGAAACTGCTCTCAGAGATGTTTCTGCTCTGAGAAGCTTCAAATGTGCTTATCAGCACGACCTTCCAGAATTTAACATTTCATACAATTGACTTTTTTTTTTTTAATGGCGGAACATGATTTCCAGATTTCAGACTTGTTAATTAGAATAACTGCATGAAGTAACCTTGGTAATGCAAGATGGCCTCTTGACAGACAGATTTGCTTATCATTGACAGGCTTCTAGTGAAATCTGCACCTACTATATAGAAAATTGTTAGGCGCTGATCTCCATGTTGAGCCTTACTTTTCTCCTAAGAGTCAAAGATAAAATTTGTGGAGGGCAGAGCAAGATGACGGAGGAGTAGGAGACCTGGATTTCATCTGGTCTCAGGAATTCAGCTGGATAGGGATCAAACCATTCTAAACACCTACAAACTCAACAGGAGATCGAAGAAAAGAATAGCAACAACTCTGAACAGAAAAGTGAACACTTTCTGGAAGGTAGGACGTGCGGAGAAGTGAATCCGAGGCGATATTCGGGAGGATAGACAGCGGGGGAGGGGGCCTCCCTCGGCCGATTCTGGCAAGTGCTAGAGCCGCGGAGCACAAAATCGGAACTTTTAGAAAGCGGCTCCACTGAGGGACGTCGCTCCAGTGGCTAAGGGGGGGTGGTGGAACCCTTGTGGGACAGTGTAGTCTCAGGACCCTTGGGGTCACAGAAAGACCGGGGGTGCCTGAGTGTGCAGCAGAGCTCCCAGGTATCAGAGCAGGGAAGCCGGCTGCAGAGACGGAGCCGAGGTGCGGGCTCGCAGCTCGGGGTTGCCATAAACTGTGATCTGCGGCCCAGTCGGGCCACTGCTCCTCCAGCAGGGACCCAACAAGCGGCAGATCCGGGGAGACTCCCCTTCCTCCCCCGGGAGGAGCGGCGTGGGAGTGCACCGCAGGGATCTGCTGGGTTTGGAGACTCCACACCGGGTCATGAGCCAAAGAGAGAAACGCTCGGTCACAGGCCAGGTGAGCACGGACTGCGGCCGGAGACCGGGGACATGGGAGTGACTGACTGCTTTTCTCTGGGGGCACACTGAGGAGTGGGGCCCCGAGTTCTTGTCTCCTCCGGGGCGCAGATTGGGAGGCCGCCATTTTCACTCTCATCCTCCAAAGCTGTACGGAAAGCTTGCAGGGAACAAAAGCTCCTGAGAGCAAACCCAAGCTTATTACTTAACCCGGACCAGGCAAGGGTGGGACAATTCCACCTCCAGCAAAGACATTTGGGAACCATGGCAACAGGCCCCTCCCCCAGAAGATCAGCAAGAACAGCCACCCAAGACCAAGTTTACTGATCAATGAGAACAGCAGAATGCCAGCACGAGGGGAATACTGCACATAGAATTCATGGCTTTTTTTTACCATGATTCTTTAGTCTTTCAAAGTTAATTTTTTTAACTGTCTTTTTTTAAAAATTTTTCTTTTTCCCTTTTACAACCAACATCTTATCAATTCTTTTTTAAAAAACATTTCTATTTTTCATTTTTAGAGTCATATTCTATCCCTTCATAGTAGTTACCCTTATTTTTGGCATATATATATAGATATATATATATATACATATATCTATATATATATAAGTTGTTCTCTCTTTAAAATTTTGAGATATAGTTTCTTCTAACAGATCAAAATATACCCTAAATCTCTAGTGTATGGCTTTGTTCTAGTCTCCTGCCTGATCACATTCTCTCCCCTTTATTTTCTTTTTTTTTAAATCTTCTTTCTTTTTTCAAACAACTTATCGATTACTTTTATAAAATTTTTTATAATTTTCATCGTTACAGTCATATTCCATCCCTTCATCGTATCAACCCTTATTTTTGTACATATATAACTTTTTCTTCCTTTAAAATTTTGGGAGGCACTTTCTTCTAACAGAACAAAATACACCCAAATCTAGTGTGTGGCACTGATCTATGCACCAGCCTGATCATATTTGATCATATTGTTTTTTGTTTTGTTCTGTTTTGGTTTGTTTTTATCTTTTTCTTTTTTCTTTCTTTCCCTTTCTTTTCCCCTGGTTTTAGGTCTTTTCTGATTTGTTTAGAGTATATTTTCTGGGGATATCGTTACCTGTTAGCATTTTGTTCTCTCATTCATCTATTCTCCTCTGGACAAAATGACAAGATGGAAAAAATCACCTCATCAAAAAGAACAACAGGTAGTACGAACTGCCAGGGACCTACTCAATACGGACATCAGTATGATGTCGGACCTAGAGTTCAGAATCATGATTTTAAAGATACTAGCTGGGCTTGAAAAAAGCATGGAAGTTATTAGAGAAACCCTTCCTGGAGAAATAAAAGAACTAAAATCCAACCAGGTCAAAATCAAAAAGGCTATTGATGAGGTGCAATAAAAAATGGGGGCACTAACTGCTAGGATAAATGAGGCAGAAAATAGAATCAGTGATATAGAAGACCAAATGATGGAAAATTAAGAAGCTGAGAAAAAAAGAGATAAACAACTACTGGATCACGAGGGCAGAATTTGAGAGATAAGCGATACCGCAAGATGAAACAACATTAGAATAATTGGGATCCCAGGAGAAGAAGAAAGAGGGGAGGGCAGAAGGTACATTGGAGCAAATTATAGCAGAGAATTTCCCTAATTTGGGGAAGGAAACAGGCATCAAAATCCAAGAGGCACAGAGAAACCCTCTCAAAATCAATAAAAATAGGTCAACACCCCGACATCTAATAGTAAAACTTACAAGTCTCAGAGACAAAGAGAAAATCCTGATAGCAGCTCGGGACAAGAGGTCTGTAACCTACAATGGTAGAAACACTAGATTGGCAACAGACCTATTCGCAGAGACCTGGCAGGCCGAATGGACTGGCATGATACATCAGAGCACTAAACGAGAAAAATATGCAGCCATGAATACTATATCCAGCTAGGCTGTCATTGAAAATAGAAGGAGAGATAAAAACTTTCCAGGACACACAAAAACTAAAGGAATTTGCAAACACAAAACCAGCCTTACAAGAAATATTGAAAGGGGTCCTGTAAGCAAAGAGAGAGCCTAAAAGCAACACAGACAAGAAAGGAAGAGAGACAATCACAGTAACAGTCACCTTACAGGCAATACAATGGCACTAAATTCATATCTTTCAATAGTTACCCTGAATGTTAATAGGCTAAATGTCCCAATCAAAAGACACAGGCTATCAGAATGGATAAAAAAACAAGAGCCATCAATATGCTGTCTGCAAGAGACTCGTTTTAGACCCAAAGACACCTCCAGATTGAAAGTGAGGGGGCAGACAACAATTTACCATGCTCATGGACACCAAAAGAAAGCTGGGGTGGCAATCCTTATATCAGAAAAATTAGATTTTAAACCAAAGACTGTAATAAGAGATGAGGAAGGACACTATATCCTGCTTAAAGGGTCTATCCAACAAGAAGATCTAACAATTGTAAATATCTATGCCCCTAACATGGGAGCAGCCAATTCTATAAGCCAATTGATAACAAAAGCAAAGAAACACATTGACAACAATACAATAATACTAGGGGACTTTAACACCCCCTCACTGAAATGGACAGATCATCTAAGCAAAAGATCAACAAGGAAATAAAGACTTTAAATGACACACTGGACCAAATGGACTTCACAGACATATTCAGAACATTCCATCCCAAAGCAATGGAATACACATTCTTCTCTAGTGCCCATGGAACATTCTCCAGAATAGATCACATCCTAGGTCACAAATCAGGTCTCAACCAGTATCAAAAGATTGGGATCATTCCCTGCATATTTTCAGACCACAATGCTTTGAAACTAGGACTCAATCACAAGAAGAAGTCAGAAACTACTCAAATACATGGAGGCTAAAGAGCATCCTACTAAAGAATGAATGGGTCAACCAGGAAATTAAAGAAGTATTAAAAAAAATCATGGAAACCAATGAAAATCAAAACACAACTGTTCAAAATCTTTGGGATCCAGCAAAGGCAGTCCTAAGAGGAAAGTATAGAGCAATAGAAGCCTTTCCTCAAGAAACAAGAAAGGTCTCAAATACACAATCTAACCCTACACCTAAAGGAGCTGGAGAAAGAACAGCAAATAAAGCCTAAACCCAGCAGGAGAAGAGAAATAATAAAGATCAGAGCAGAAATCAATGAAATAGCAACCAAAAGAACAGTAGAACAGATCAACAAAACTAGGAGCTGGTTCTTTGAAATAATTAAGAACATTGATAAACCCCTGGCCAGACTTACCAAAAAGAAAAGAAAAATGACCCAAATCAACAAAATCATGAATGAAAGAGGAGAGATCACAACCAACACCAAAGAAATACAAACAATTATACAAACATATTATGAGCAACTCTATGCTAGCATATTAGATAATCTGGAAGAAATGGATGCATTCCTAGAGATATATCAACTACCAAAACTGAACCAGGAAGAAACAGAAAACCTGAACAGACCTATACAACTAAGGAAATTGAAGCAGTCATCAAAAATCTCCCAACAAACAAGAGCCCAGGGCCAGATGGCTTCCCAGGAGAATTCTACCAAACATTTAAAGAAGAATTAATACCTATTCTTCTGGAATTGTTCCAAAAAATAGAAATGGAAGGAAAACTTCCAAACTCGTTCTATGAGGCCACCATTACCTTGATCCCCAAACCAGACAAAGACCCCACCAAAAAGGAGAATTACAGACCAATGTCCTTGATGAACATGGATGCAAAAATTCTCACCAAAATACTAGACAATAGGATCCAACAGTACATTAAAAGGATTATTCACCACGACCAAGTGGGATTTATCCCTGGCCTGCAAGGTTGGTTCAACATCCACAAATCAATCAATGTGATACAATGCATTAATAAAAGAAAGAACAAGAACCATAGGATCCTCTCCATAGATGCAGAAAAAGCATGTGACAAAGTATAGCATCCTTTCTTCATCAAAACTCTTCAGAGTCTAGGGATAGAGGGTACATACCTCAATATCATAAAAGCCATCTATGAAAAACCCATGGCGAATATCATTCTCAATGGGGAAAAACTGAGAACTTTCCCCCTAAGGTCAGGAACACGGCAGGGATGTCCACTATCACCACTGCTATTCAACATAGTATTAGAAGTCCTAGCCGCAGCAATCAGATAACAACAACAAAAAAATAAAAGGCATCCAAATCAGCAAAGAAGAGGTCAAACTCTCACTGTTTGCAGATGATAGGATACTTTATGTGGAACACCCAAAAGACTCCACCCCAAAACTGCTAGAACTCATACAGGAATTCAGTAAAGTGGCAGATATAAAAATCAATGCACAGAAATCAGTGGCATTCCTATACACCAACAACAAGACAGAAGAGAGAGAAATTAAGGAGTTGATCCCATTTACAACTGCGCCCAAAACCATAAGATACCTAGGAATAAATCTAACCAAAGAGGCAAAAGATCTGTACTCAGAAAAGTATAAAATACTCATGAACGAAATTGAGGAAGACACAAAGAAATGGAAAAATGTACCATGCTCATGGATTGGAAGAACAAATACTGTGACGATGTCAATGCTACCTAGAGCAATCTACACATTCAATGCAATCCTCATCAAAATACCATCCACTTTTTTTCAAAGAAATGGAACAAATAATCCTAAAATTTGTATGGAACCAGAAGAGACCCCGAATAGCCAGAGGAATGTTGAAAAAGAAAAGCAAAGCTGGCGGCATCACAATTCCGGACTTCCAGCTCTATTACAAAGCTGTCATCATCAAGACAGTATGGTACTGGCACAAAAACAGACGCATAGATCAATGGAACAGAATCGAGAGCCCAGAAATGGACCCTCAACTCTATGGTCAACTCATCTTCGACAAAGCAGGAAAGAATGTCCAATGGAAAAAAGACAGTCTCTTCAACAAATGGTGTGGGGAAAATTGGACAGCCACATGCAGAAGAATGAAACTGGACCATTTCCTTACACCACACACAA